CCTCAACTCAACCAGAACAAACCCCAACAGGAATTGAAGCAATGTCACCAACGCCTCCCCCAGTGGCGGATCCGACAACGGTGCATGTTAGCAGCACCAGCGTGTCAGGCACCAACTACCACCCAGACTAACTCCACCCCAGATCAGACAGCCCATCAATCAATGGAAACCTCAACGCCCTCCGCCAACAGGCGAAGGATACTGGCAAAAAAGAAAGAACATAGTCACCAAGCGACTGAAACAGTAGCCAGGCCAGTAAATGCTCCAGACAACGAGGACCTTGAAGTCACCTACGTGGAACCAGGATTTGATGCGAACCCAAGCATCTCAGATAAGCGTGAAGTTGAGCTGGTAACTGCTCACCGGGTTATTGTCAAATTAGTGAGGGAGAAGGTTTACCGTGAGTTCCTCCGCCGTTATGAGGGGCGTTCCTTATCGCTGCCGGATGGTGCCGGTTCTGTGACCATTACGGACCGTAGTGGTGCCCTGACATATGTGAGTGTGCATGGTGCGCCCTTGGAGTTTCCAGAGGACCTAATCCGGCGCTACTTCCAGCAGTTTGGAGCTGTCGTTAGTGTGCGGGTGAACACGCTGTCCTCGGAGAGGTATAAGGGTATGCGTATGAACATTCGTACCCTTGGGATGCGCCTGAAGTCGGACATTCCTTCTTCAGTCCAGCTTCTGAGGTACTATGCCCGGCAACCCCATACCAGTTTTCGGTGTGGCTTGTTGGGGCATCAGGCTGCCGGATGCTCTGGGGCTGCAGTCGCTCCTGTGAACCTGTTCCGGGAGGAGGATTTCCAGCCGCTCCCTGTTGGGGTGGTTTCCGTGGGCGAGGATGTGGACGTCCCGTTGGCTGATACCCCCCCCCCCCTGCGTCGCCCGGCGGTCCTCCGGATGGTACTGCCCCTCCTCCGGGTGTTACGGTGCCGTCGGCTGATCTTCCTGCTCCTGTCGCTGTCCCAGCTGCTCCCGTGGGTCTTCCGGATGGTCTCTGCAAGTCGTCAACGTCTTCATCTTCCTCGTCTCCTGCTGCTGCGACTGGCCCTGCGCCCTCGCCAGGTGTCACGGCTGTGCTGGGTGCTGGGGGGGCTGCGGAGCATCCTGATGTGTGCGGCTCGGTTCCCCTTGTGGTTGAGGCTGCTGCCGTTCTGCGACGGGCATCGGTTCGCACGGCTTGTGAAGCCCGTGGTTCTGGGTTCGCCTCCGGCTCTGAGGATGTGCGGCCGGAGCCCAAGCATTCCCGGCGTTCTTCTACTGCTTGGGCTGATGTGGAGGATTTCGACGCCGGTGGATCTTCGGGCAATGATGTGGTGGTTCCGGGGGCTTCGCGCTCTACGTTGCTGCAGGTAGTTGCTGACGTCCATGTGCCTGCTGATGACAATGTTTGTGCATATGATTTACCTCCTGTTCTTTCTTCTGCAGAAGGTTCTCCGCAGTGGGGGGTGGTCGTTCCTCTGGACGTGGGTGGTGAGGGTGCTGGTGCAGGCCGTGGCCTCGTGCTGGTGCTGAAGAAGGATGCCCGGCGTGGGGGGTCCCTGCAGGTGCAACGTCCGGTGGTTGACGCGGGGGCCCTGTGAGGTAGCCGAGGAGGCTCTCAGTGCGCTGCCCATTGCCCGGCCCCGTGGGAAGAAGCCTCTCCCTCTCGTCTTGGCCTCTGGCGTGGCGTATGATGAAAACAACCCCCATGCTGTTTGACATTGTTGACCGCGTGCATCCTGTTCCATGGAGTCTTTTTCCGTCTGGGTTCCGCGGGCTCGGTGTTTTGTTGTGGGTGTGCCGGAGTTGATGCCTGATCCTCGTACGGTTCATTGTAAACCTGTTCCGGATAACATCGTGTTGCTTTGGGAGGCGTATTGTGTTTGTTTCCCGGCGGCGGAGTGGCCGGATAAGTATGAGCAGTTTGAGTAGTCTGTGTGATTGCTGTGTGATGGGGCCTGCGGTTTGTTATGCTATGTGTTGTATTTATTGTGCGCCCTTCAGGCCGGTGTTATGTTTTGTTCTCATGACCTTGTTTTATTGTATTTATTGTATTTCTTAGCATGCATTGCATGTAAATATAATAATAATAAAAAAAACTAGACCGTAGAACAATTTATGGACCTCTCCATCCTGAATAGAAAGTACATCGACCCGAAATTCAATTTCAGTACACACATAAATCACAATAGCGTAATGCATCAAATGAACAAATCCGCAAGGGCCGTGATGAGGGTTCGAACCTACGTCCGAGAGAATCCTAGACGCGCCTTAATCGACTGTGCCACGACACGGTAAAAGAACTGCAACCGGGAGTTCATCTGCCCTCACACGGATTCTGCAGTCTCTCCGAGACACAAACCAGGGTTTCACACAATTCTCCCGTGCACCCGGGCTCTGTCAATAAGCTATTCTACCTCTTCGCCCTTATTTCATTTGTAAGGGCGAAGAGGTAGAACAGCTTATTGACATAGAGCAATTAAGGATGATAAAGAGTCACTTACAATTAATGTATCAAGTTTGGAAACTTGTACACATTTCAGGGCAAGAAGCAAGGCAAATAGTTCGGTCTGAAGGGTAGAGGCCCAGTTGTTTATACGGACTCTAATTTGTTTCTTGGATGGAAAGGGAGGGATTAAAATTGGAAAGGGTGTAATCTCTCGCGGTGCAGGTAAGTGCCGGTGTTGTCTCTCTTGGTACAAATGATAAATCTGATACATTCTGAGTTCAGTTCCAGTTTTAGTTTTCCATATTTAACAATGCTGACCTTCAATAAAGAATTCTGGAGGACTTCTGTGCAAGGGTTAGGATGAGTTAGCCTAAGTATTTTTGTACCAATTTGACAATTAATTTCAGTAACACGATCAACGCTTGGAATATTAAGTTCCTTTCTCATGTTAAGTATCTTTGTGGTTCGAGGACACCCAAGGATTATCCTCAAGGCTTCGTTCTGAAAATTTTCAAGCTATACATATGATGCAGATATGTATGGTATCTGTGCATAGGGTTCAACCAGTGCAAACTACCTGAAGCTCATCATCACCCAACAAAAATCTGCTATCAGAACAATAACAAACTGTTTTCAGATAATACTCAGCTCCCTTGTTTAAATCCCTAAGCATCTTAAACATAAACTCACTCCTTACATTCTTTTGTGCCATTTACATTTACAAAACCCTGTTCGTAAATGCAAATCCTGTTCTGAAACTCTTCCTTGACAGATGTAATAGAACCCATAATCACCACACTAGAAATAAATATCTTTGATATCCCCAGTCAAACTAAATCTGTGTAAACACTATGTAAATAAAGAGACTTAGTCTATGGAACTCGCTCCCAAACGGATTGAAAATCTGTCTAACCTACGCCTTATTAAAAAATAAAACCAAAAAGTATCTAATTTCATCCTCATAGTTTTCTACATAGTGTCTTAAACACGCACTGTATCTTGTGCTACCCCAATATATGTACCTAAGCCATCACCATTGTAATCTCTGCTATCATCTTATTGAACGCATATTTTACTACATTATACCTAGAAATATATTCCTTAAATTTTATTATATTGTACCCACTAATTTTCGTCAAATGTTCATACACTGTACCTGTTAACATTTCTCAAATTTGCAAAAAAATACTTATTTAAAATTATGTTTGATTAAGGACCTGCCCGAAACGCTGTGTGTTAATGGCTTTACAAGAATGTAAAAACAGTAATGCTATGTACTCATAAACTCAATGTACCTTCTTGTATATAGTAGGCATCCATCAGTCTTGTATATATATATATATTAATAAATGAATAAATAAATCTGTAATTGCCCTGTTATCACTGACTTCAGACCAAATGGTATGAGGTACTTTGAGCTTTGTAATTACTTCATACCAAATGATATGAGGTACTTTGAGCTCTGTAATTACTTCAGACCAAATGGTATGAGGTACTTTGAGCACTGTAATCACTTCATACACTCATGAATGCTGGAAGATATTCTTGTGCTGTACCCAGATTTTGCCAGTGAAGGCTACTAGACCAGCCTCACATTTCTTGTTCCTTCTTGATTCCATGTATGACTGGCCGTCCTGTGAGGTGGGGATGTTGGATGAGCTTGTAGCTGTATTTTTTAATCTACACGGTGTAGTCTTTCATATAGAATAGGGGGTAGCAGCACATTGCTGTGTATACCTAAGCTTGTTTTCAAAAAGAAAAGACATTGTTTGAAAGGAGTCTTGTAGAAACTGGGACGAGTGATTGTAATGTAATGTTTCCGTGATTCAGTGCTCAGCTCTTGTGAAAATCATGAAGTTGTTTAGTCAGAGTTGATTTTTTGTTTATTGAGGTAGGTATTTTCTCCCCTGATTCCATGTATGACTAACCATCCTGTGAGATGTGAATATTAGATGAACTTATAGCTAGTTTTTTTTATCTACACTGTGTAATCTTTCATATAGAATAGGGTAGCAGCACATTGCTGTGTACACCTAAGCGTGTTAATAAAAAAAACAATGTTGTTTGTACGGACACATTCTTCTGAATAAACATTCAAAATTCAAAATGTTTATTCAGGTAAAAGTATATACATAGAAGATGAGTTACAAACATATGTTGGATTTAAAGATAGAGCTAGTACATACAATACCTATAGCCACTAATACGCACAGCGTTTCGGGCAAGTGAGCTTGATAATAATGGCATTATTATTATTATTATTATTATTATTATTATTATTATTTTTATTTTTATTTTTATTTTTATTTTTATTATTATTATTATTGTTATTGTTATTGTTATTATTATTATTATTATTATTGTTATTGTTATTATTATTATTATTATTATTATTATACCTTATTATTCTGTATTATTATTATATTACCGTATGACAATTATTGGTGTGAGTGACTAATTGCGTGCGCAGCCTAGACGGCTCGTCTCAACTAATCACAACACAACCTTCTCTTTCTCTGATTCCCATTGGCTAAAATTTGGAAACCTTTCAGCGATCACAAATTTTACTTTCTTCGGAGGTGAGAACCAACCGTAACAGTGGACGCCTGGGACCGTGTTCTGATTGGCTCACGTGTAACCTTGTTGCTCTATCGCAGAGTTTCTGCAGTAATCAGGTGTTGAGTGTAAACAACAGTTTATAACATCTCCACAGATTGATTTAGGTGATATTTTGTTTTGTTTTCCCGCGAGGTGATAATGCTTTGGGTGTTGAGGTGATGACAGGTGTGAGGAGTGAGGGGTGATGAGGCGCTGCGTGTGAGTGTGTCTTGTAAGGTCTTGTGTGAGTGGTGAGGCAGCAGGTGAGTGTCTTGTAAGGTCTTGTGTGAGTGGTGAGGCAGCAGGTGAGTGTCTTGTAAGGTCTGTGTGAGTGGTAAAGCAGCAGGTGAGTGTCTTGTAAGGTCTGTGTGTGTGGTGAGGCAGCAGGTGAGTGTCTTGTAAGGTCTGTGTGAGTGGTGAGGCAGCAGGTGAGTGTCTTGTAAGGTCTGTGTGAGTGGTGAGGCAGCAGGTGAGTGTCTTGTAAGGTCTGTGTGAGTGGTGAGGCAGCAGGTGAGTGTCTTGTAAGGTCTGTGTGAGTGGTGAGGCAGCAGGTGAGTGTCTTGTAAGGTCTGTGTGAGTGGTGAGGCAGCAGGTGAGTGTCTTGTAAGGTCTTGTGTGAGTGGTGAGGCAGCAGGTGAGTGTCTTGTAAGGTCTGTGTGAGTGGTGAGGCAGCAGGCGAGTGTCTTGTAAGGTCTGTGTGAGTGGTGAGGCAGCAGGTGAGTGTCTTGTAAGGTCTGTGTGAGTGGTGAGGCAGCAGGTGAGTGTCTTGTAAGGTCTTGTGTGAGTGGTGAGGCAGCAGGTGAGTGTCTTGTAAGGTCTGTGTGAGTGGTGAGGCAGCAGGTGAGTGTCTTGTAAGGCCTGTGTGAGTGGTGAGGCAGCAGGTGAGTGTCTTGTAAGGTCTGTGTGAGTGGTGAGGCAGCAGGTGTGTGTCTTGTAAGGTCCGTGTGAGTGGTGAGGCAGCAGGTGAGTGTCTTGTAAGGTCTTGTGTGAGTGGTGAGGCAGCAGGTGAGTGTCTTGTAAGGTCCGTGTGAGTGGTGAGGCAGCAGGTGAGTGTCTGGTAAGGTCTGTGAGTGGTGAGGCAGCAGGTGAGTGTCTGGTAAGGTCCGTGTGAGTGTTGAGGCAGCAGGTGAGTGTCTGGTAAGGTCTTGTGTGAGTGGTGAGGCAGCAGGTGAGTGTCTGGTAAGGTCTGTGAGTGGTGAGGCAGCAGGTGAGTGTCTTGTAAGGTCTTGTGTGAGTGGTGAGGCAGCAGGTGAGTGTCTGGTAAGGTCTTGAGTGGTGAGGCAGGTTTTGTTTTGTGTCTTGAGGGGGTTTTGTGTGTGTGTGTTGCGGCTTTATTTTCTATGATGCAATGTATTCATTGTGATGCGTGATGGTGCTCGGTGATGTGTAATGGTGACCCATCACTGTTAAGGATTAAACAAATCTATTTTTTTCACAGTTGAAAATGATGTAATCACATGATGATGATGGATAGATGCAGCGATGATTCCATTGGATGAATGTGATGTATGTATGTTGTGATGACTGCATCAGATTATTGCATTGATGTATGCTGAGGATAGATTCCATGATGATTGTTGGGGAAATGGGATGATTGATGGATGCTCTGATTGGATTTAAGGTTTGGGATGATGGATGGATGCTGTGATGATTGTGATGAGTGATTGGGATGATGGATGGTGTGATGATTGTGTTGGATGACTGCAATGATGGATGGATGTTTCGATGATTGCAATGATGGATTGTTGTTGCAGTGATTGTATGTGATGGCACTGGTGGATAGGTGTTACAATGATTGCATCGGATGATTACTTGTGTTACTCTTGTTTTGTATGGGTAAAACTTGGTGTAATTTTCAATGTATTGTTCTGTACAGTATCATACTGTACAGTATTGTACTGTACAGTATTACATATGTCTTCTAAAAATCACTTTAAACACTGATTTCTTGGCTTAAGGATCCCTACTGCTCATGACGCCCAGATTTTTTTCTTTAAAATCTTCTCAATTTCATCATTGTTTAGCTGATATTGGCTTGATTTTTAGGCATGTTGGGAGATGTTCGTCATTGCCGTTGTATGAGATTCCTTCTATTAATACGAGATGTCTATATGTTGGATTAATATTTGTAATTATATCCACAGGCTTTAGCCTAGGATGCCTCAAGATGGGTTGGGGATCAAGTCGGGTGGCAAGAAAAGGTCTGGAGGCGTACCCCGTGTCCGCAGCCACACTGATGCCGAGCTCCAGTATTACCGTGACCAAGACCACGATAACCTCCTCCCGCCTTCCTTCAAGTATGACTTATTTTCTTTCTTCAGCTGCTCTAGATTTTTCTTTTAATCTAGTAAAGCAAACTTTGTAAAATTATATCTCGGAGGTACCCGAGCTTAAACGATTGGTGGGGGTCCCCACACCAGCCAGTCATTGTCATTTGGCTAGTCTGCTGACAAAGCAGTACAAACAATGGTGGCCGTTAATTTATTTTTAAAACAATAATATGTGGTCACATAGCTAGGCTGAGTGACCACATATGTGAGAGAGGTAGGTTCAGGAGTGCTACACAGGTGCCATACCCCAGAAGAGGCATTTCATTGCACTTGATAATCTGTTGTTCTTGTGCCTTTCCACCCAATAAAAAGTAGGAAACAGAATAAGGAAAAGTCAATTAGGTTAGATGATGTGCTTAGAAATTTTAGATGTTGTCAATGGTCGTATTTTTTAAGAGTGCCATATTTACTGTAGTAACCTATGTCATTTAGGGTGTTGAGGCTAGAGTGGGTAGTAGGTAAAAGTAGTGTCATCAGCAAAAAGTATTTAAATTAATCCTTAGACAGAGGTTATCGTCAGTTGTTGATCCACAAGGTAATGCAGTTATCATCATATGATGATTTAAAGAATTATTGTCAAGGGTTTTACATGTATGATGCGAGTATGGATTAAAAAAAGCTCTCTAAATGTAGATAAAGAAAAAAAAGTGGAAAAACAATCGGTGAAACATCGGAGGATAAAACTTGAAGCGATGGTGAAGTCGAGCACCAGGTGTTTACAAGTGCCAGACGCAGCCTTGCAGAGCGCCTCCACCCAGTGAAATGATAAATGTTCACTTATATTTGTGTTTTTCTTACACTCTGCATACAAGTTAATAATTCTATAATGAAAACTTATTTCTTGGAATTTTTATATTTTTTATGCTTAAAAATATGACCATTTCTCCATAGCCGCTGTCTAAGGGTGGGTAGGTGATAGCAACGCTCCCTTTTCTTTGTCTGTGGAAGATGGTAGACAGTCAGAGAGTGAGGTAAAGTGTACTCGGCTTAGCCTCCCTCGGCTGACCTTCTTTCTCCTACTCTTGTTTTTTCTAGTCATAAAATTATTCTCACACTTTTCTTCTTGTTTGCTATTTTTTAAAGTTCAATATACATTTGGTTATTCACTTGGCAAGATGATTCCTGGTAAACTTTGGCCACAGATTTGTCATTCTTTAATTATCATAGATAATTATGATTAATAGAATTTTTCAAGTGTAGGTTATATATTCGAATGACACATGGGTGGCATATGAATGAATAGGAGCCGACTCATATGGTCCAGTAGGCTTTCTGCAGTATCCTTAATTCTTATATTCTTAATCAATAATTAATAAATGAATGATAAATATTTGCCTATTTGCTTTGCCCGAAATGCTATGCGTATTGGTGGCTTTGGCTAGTGTATGTACTGGCTCTATCTATAAATCCAAAATTATGTTTGCAAGTCGTCATCTATGTATGTACTTTTACTTGAATAAAAATATGATTTTGAAATTTGAATTTGTATTCAATATGAAAATTTCCATTTTCAGAGTACGGCTTCATGATCTCTTCTTACAAATAGAAAAGGAATTTGAAGGCCTTTATGCAGAAAATTTATCTCGTGAGTCACACTATATATTTAAATATTATGTAAATTGATTACAGTGTATATACGTATTATAGCCTTCATTCTTTAATAAATGTAGAATTAATTTAAGACTAAACACTGAATTTGGTAAACAATGGTGATTCAATTTTTCAGTGCAAGAAAAAATAGACAGCTTGACTGAGAGACTAGAAAGAGAATCGGTCATTGGGGAACGACCGTGTGGAAATGATGAAAATGACGCAGCCTCCACAAAAGGTGGACTCAAGAGCAAGTGTAAGTTAATGTTTTGTATTTGATCATAAGCAACTTGCTGGCTTGGATTTTGCTACAAAATACAGGCATGTGGTGGCCCTCATTATTGATCATATGGAGCACATATTGACCACTTTATTACTGCATGGAGCTCTTTGCTCTGTGGTAGTGTAGGTGGAGAATTGACTACGGCCTTAACCTTCTACTATATTTTCACTAATATCTATAATAGTCTTAGATTTAGGTTGAGTGTCTGCCAGAAGTTAAGTAAGGCATATGGGGTTATCTAGAATGTGAGTGTGACAAGTTATTGAAAAAGTTAGATGCTTACCTGTCAGTTGCTTGATGTCATGGCATGGGTTCAGCCTTCTATTCAGCTTGGTAGAATAATTTTGATATTCTAAATGAGTTGCATAATGCACAAAGCTGTAAACTGCTGCAGAACTATGGGTGTATATATAGTGTTGAAAATTTCTTGATAAAGGACTGAATCCACTCTCAAACCTTGAACTCTTTTAATTACATATGAAAAACCAATGTTGCCACTGCTTCCTAAAGCAGCTGGGCAAGCATCTTGAGCAAGGGCACCAAGGCAGAACCATAAACTTCAAGACCTCCACCTCCAGGGCAGTACCAAGTTAACCCACATCCTCAAAGAGCTGCCCAGAGAACCCCTCCACGAGGACCCAAACTCATTAGCCACTGCCAAGTGCAAACATGCCTTGTGATCATCCACAGTAAGAACCCCAGACAACACTGGCGGCTGCACACACAGCTGCCACTTGCTCACGCCCCTGGGGGAGCACTGGAGCAAGCAAACAGTCCCTGAGCAGAGTAAAAGAAGTACCACCCATGACCATCTGAAAGATAGAACACCACATATGCCAATCAAGTGTAATTACCCAAGTGTAGTTACAGGATAAGAGCTGTGCTCGTGGTGTCCCGTCTTTCCCGTACTCTTTGTCGCATAACTGAAACTACTGATGGTTTTGACCTCCACCTTCTCACTTGTTCCAACCATTAACCTTCTCACTTGTTCCAACCATCTACCACTGTGTTTGCAAAAGAAATTTCCAATATTTTTTGGGGGCCTTTATTTCCTTGGCTTGAATCTGTATCCTCTTGTTCATGAAGTTGCTGGTTTCAGGAATTCCTCTTTGTCAATTTTGTCGATTCCTGTTAGTATTTTGTAAGTGGTGATCATATTACCTCTTTTTCTTCTATCTTCTAGTTTTGGCATGTTTAATGCCTCTAGTCTCTCCTTGTAACTCTTGTTTTCCAGTTCCATAAGCCATTTTGTAGCATGCCTTTACATCTTTTCCAGTTTATTTGTATGTTTCTTGAGATATGGGCACCATACAACTGCTGCATATTCCAATATTGGTCTCACAAAGGTCGTGAAGGTAGACGCGCACACGACCCAGGTCGTGTGTGGGTTTATCAGAACCCTTTGCCAAGCCTCCAAGGAAAAAGAGGGGTTGTCAGCCTGCCAGGATGATTCTAGATCCCCACATTGTAGTAAGAAATCAGAGATGGACCTGTGCTCAAAAGAGGCCGGACCCCATCAACAAAAAGAGGTGTGACTTGCACAGAAGGTACCGAGACAAATCCATGCAAGCCACTGAAGGGAAAACTAAGGAAGACAGAAACCTCTAGAAATACAATGATTCCAAAGCACTGAATGGAACCATGAACCAAACCCAAAGAAAGGCAGCTGAATGATCATATTCATACATAGGAGGAGGAGGTATATCCCTGAAACAAAGATCCTCTGGAAAGGAAACCAGTCCAAGAAGGGTTGAAGGGGCACCCATGGACACTCCTTGGGCTTCCACTCGGCCCCAGAAGCCTGCCACATAGAGGTGTAGTCCTCGCCCAACACCTGGAACAGTAAGGTGTCCTCCAAAGGAGAAGGCTCGGAGCAGTGTGGGTGGGGGAGAGGCTCTCAGGTTGTCTGCAGTGTCATTACATCTAGCCAGCCTGCAGCCTACCCTTGTGCCCATGATGTTTGTAAGTCCGCTGCTCTTGCAGCTCTTTGTGTTAATGTCCATGGTTGATATTTAGGTGTGGGGATTTTGGTGGTCAAGCAGGGTGCTGGTGGGCCAGTATTTGGTTAATGTTCCTGGTCTTCGTCACTCTTGTGTTGCGTTGATCATGTCTCTCGACCTGCTGTCTTGGCCTTTTCTTGACTGCCTGTGGTTCCTCCTCCTCCTCCTCCTCCTCCTTGGTTAGTCCCTGTCTTTTCTTCTTAATGGGTAGTTTGGCTTCATGGAGCCACAAGAGGCTACCCTCAGAAAACCAGTGTTGAATGTAAACTTCAATTTGTGTGTGATCCCCAGTGCCTTCCTGATTCCCCCCCCACCCCCACCTTGCAGGCTGTCATTTGGGTGTGTTTTGTGTGTGCATCTACTTCAGAACTGACTGCTCGAGCAAGTAGACAGAGTGGTCCTCGGTCCTTCTCACTCCCCAAATGAATGGGAGGGTTGGGGCAAACGAGTGCATGCTTGTCTTGAGAAATTCTATCATTTGTTTACATTGTTGGGAAGTTCATTCAGCAGGTTATGAAGCTTTGGTCTCTCTTTTTTTTTTAACCCAGTGGTGGTCTGTACTGGTTCTCCGACTTCTTGGGTACCTTCCCTGGTGAGGTGGTGTAGTGTTATCTTCTTGTCACTCTGTGAGGAGGCAATGGTTCTGGCACTGATCTCTAGTAGACCGAAATAAACTCCACTGGTGATGAAATCTAGTACAGTAGTTGGAAGTCATCTCGGCTTCAGGGAACCACTGGGATTCACCCAGAAATTGGCATTGCATTAAATTCAATGCTGGTTTCTAATTTAATATCTATAACGTTTCACTATGCCAGTACAGTATTACTACTTTTCTCCGGGTTGATTCCTCCTTGGCCACAAAGTGGGGAAACAGAACAATAGTGATGGTACACTGTGGTAGGAGACCAGGAATGCTTCCCCCGAGTAGTTAATGTGAATATTATTATGGACTACTGTTTTTGTTATACCTTTTAGGTTTGCATTTCTTAACATCATATTCATTATTTATAATTTCCTATTTTTAGAACGGTTTTTCATTTTCTTAATTATAATGATTATTAAAGTTTGCATATACAGTAGTATTTACTTTTTATATATACAGTAGTTTTATATTTTAGTTTATATTTAAGTTTCTCTACTCAAAACTGATGCTAGTTACCCCTTATCTTTTTAACCTTAACCTCGTCTATTGACAGCTGGAGGGCAGAGCTCACAGAAAGTGAAAGCAGCCAACAAACTACGTGTCCAGACCTCCAAGATTGTGTCCAGCTTTAAGAATGATTCTGTATCGTGCCGTATGGTGCGAGAATATGTTGGTCACCGAGATGGCGTGTGGGATGTGGCAGTGTCCCGCGTTGGTACTCCTGTCATCGCTACAGCTTCAGCTGGTAAGGCGACCTCATTAATGTTATATTATTGATCAGATTAGATCTTGCATGCAGCAGTGCTGAGAGGAAAGATACTGTGATTTGTGTGTATTGGATCATGTGGATTTGGAGCTAAAGTACGGGGGTGAGAACTTTAATACCAAGTTCCAAAGTTCCAAAGTGTGTGGGTGAATTTTACCTGAGGACCACTGACACTAATTTCTTGATGAGACACAATTCAGAACAGAATAAAAACTTAATATTTTGACCTTTCTTGGTTGTGGGAAATGTCCCTACCCCCTATGCCAGGCACATTTCACCATACAAGCAATATTTTGAACATTCTTAACATGCAGTATGGTTAATTACTGATAAATTCTGAATAGTTAAGAACATAAGAATAAAGGTAACTGTAGAAGGCCTATTGGCCCATACAAGGCAGCTCCTATTTATAACCACCCAATCCCAACTCATGCTTGAAACAATCAAGGGACTCCACGTCACGTGGCAACGGGTTCCACAAATCAACAACCCTGTTACCGAACCAGTATTTACCCAGGTGTTTCCAAAATCTAAACTTATCCAGTTTATACCCAATGTTTCGTGTTCTGTCTTGTGTTGATACTTTTAATACCCTATTAATATTCCCTTTGTTATGTCCATTCAACCACTTATAAACCTCGGCAGGTGGAGCGCGCTGTGTTTTTTTACATTATATACATATACTCCTGTTAGGAATTCTATTGTGAACACATTGATACCAAAATGAAAGACCTAGGACGAGAATTGAGGTGACCAAAGTGAAAAGAGTGTTCACATTTTATTGCTCTGGTGCGCTCCCGGGTAACTTGCTCTCACTTTCTCTGTTTGCTGCAGGTGGTAAACCGGGCTTTTGGGGTTTATATGCATTTAGTCCTGTAGAAAATTCTATTGCGAACACATTGATACCAAATTGAAAAACCTATGACGAGAATTAAGGTGACAAAACTGAAAAGAGTTACACTTTTCAAAATTACCGCGTGCTCCCATGGGACGCCTGGACCCACCTGAGGTAGCGCGGTGCTCCTGCACCCAGAGCGCGAAAGTGTTTAGAATGGTCAAAATATTGTTTGTATGGTGAAATTTGCCTGGCATAGGCGGCAGGGAGGCTTCCCACAACCTGGAAAGGTCAAAAGTCTTAAGTTTTTATTATGGTCTGAATAGTGTTTTTGAAAGCATATTGGTATTTTTTTGTTTGTTTAGGACACGGACCCATATTTCTACATGAGGCCCTAAACCTCTGGCTGGCCCACTATGGTGAAAGAAAGATGCTATAACATGTGAAAATCAGTATAATCTAGAAGTCATTTACACTTGCTAAAGGCTAAAGAATGTTGTCATATTGTTTAATCTGAATGACCAGACAACCACTATTTCTAGTGGCTTTGCCGGAGACAGAAAGTCTGTGTCGTAAGTTTTATAAGACGTAAAGGATTCATAGAAATACGAGATCAATTTTACTGAAGCATATTGTTTAGTTATGATGAATATTGATTAAAATATTTTGATAGGATAACTGCGTTGATATTTTTTCCAAATCTGTGAATGGTAAGAGTATAAATAAAAATTAGTAATTATGTAAACTAAAGTTTTGACAACTGTTTCTTATACAGATCAGACAGCATGTGTGTGGGGTATTGATGGAGGGCGGAACCTGCTCCAGTACACGGGTCATACAGGATCAGTCAATTCGGTTAAATTCCATCCATCACAAGACTTGATTCTTACAGCAAGTGGCGACCACAGTGCTCATGTCTGGCAAGCTGCAATTACTCCTGACCAGCTGGTAGGAGTTTATTTCTCAACTTTATCCCCTTCCCTCATTTTCTCCCTTTCGTCAGTGGCTCTAATGATTAGTTAACCCTCATGACCAGTAACTTTTCATATAGACGATGGAGAATCACTTTCTACATGTGGTCTCTAGCTATCACCGAGACCACATCGTGATGTACAGAATGAAGAGCATTAGATTCAGCAAAACCTCTCCAAATTAAAATTTAAATATAATAAATTTAAGAAGCACTCTTCTTGCTACTGGCTGGTTAATAAAGTACTAACCCGCTCGCCACCAGATAGCAGCACTACCACAACAATAGTGTCAGCAGAGCCAGCACACTTGACTTGTTGTTCGGCAGTCCATACTTCCTGCAGCTGGCTCTGAACTGGCCACTAAGATAGCTATGTACATATTTATGGTTTCCCATTGTTGGTGACAGGAAGGTTGTTAGGTTCATGGAGTTTGCCCTATGAAAACAACTGACCTTTCCTAGGATATAATCCACAACAGTTGCCTAACTCGTGGGAACAGTACGTGTATCTATTTCTACTACTATGTGAAGAGAAGTATCAGGTGTAAGGAATGTGGCCACACACGACCATCCTACACTGGAGCTTACTATGGTTTAGTGTTCCCTTTGTTGTGTGTGATTGCAGTCCACTGTCTAGTGCTTTCTGCTAGCAGCTTTGTTTCAGGTTTATCTGCCCTGGCTCTGTTTTTGTGGACAGCTCGTGGCTGTTAGAGATATCGCCTGATGCTCGGTGCTTTTTGTCTCTATCCTCCAGTTTGGCTTCTCCCCCATTCTTGCCTGACTCCAGACATATGACAGCAGGGTGTTCCTGTTAGCTCTATGGTTCCTGGCTTAGCCTTAGTTTCTGAGCTTTCAGACTTGGTGTCTGAGTCTAAATGTGTGTCCAGGTCTTGGCCTCTCCCAACTGGTTATGGGGAGACTTTACCTCGGTGGTTTGAGAGATTATTGATCTTTGTATGTGGACTTAGTTGTGTTTATTGCCACCTGTATAGGGAGCAGGTAACAAATTATATGGTGTTGCATCTTCATTCATCTTCTCACCAGAGTATGAATGACTGGGTGGGTGTGCCAGGGCCCCAGGTGACTGTGGCTGTCATTTGGTGGCAGGCAAGTTTTGTCATGTAGTAGGTCATCTTGGCTAATAAGTATTAATGTAGCTCAGAAAAGGGTGACAAGTTGCATGTTGTCCATGCAGTTGGTTATTTTGGAGTGCTCTTTCTTTCCTTCCATACTGTGGTGATCAGGAGATCCCCATACTCCCCTTTGCCTGTATTGAGGAAGGACAGATTCTGGTCCTGGTCTCCAGGTGGGTAGCTTTGCAAGTTAACGAGGAGCTTGCCAGAAAAAGGCTTTTCATTAAATTCAAAACTGGATTTTTGTAGCTGTTTCTTCAGCAATATGTATGTCAATTGTGTACATTGACATTTAAAAAAAAAAAACATAAATAACTGCATAATATATAAATGTCTGTAAAATTTTGAAAACTTGGTGGCCTCTAAAACATCCAATATAATGTATCCAATTTTCTTGTTTCTATGCTCAAGAACATTTATTTTTGACCATTTTGGTGTAAAAATCATTGTTTGAATTATATACAGGTAAGTTGGTTTGCAAACAGAGTTTAGTATAACATTTCAGGCATCCATGAGCAAGCAACCAGTGGGGGGGGGGGGGAGGGACTAACTGTGAACAAGAAAATAGGCACCACCCTTGTATCACAAAAGTATTCTCATTAAAGCTTTTTCTGTGGAGAGCCCCACCGGCTCCCGGATCTATACTGGGCTGGTATGTATTAGACCATGGCATCAGTCAATTTGATTGGAGTTCTAGCCTACCGGGGACCATGAGCCAGAACCTGGCCCCCGTCAGAGAGGCACGAGGAGCAATGGCCTATAGAAACCTCATGTGGTTGGAAGCAGTCTGTCTGCCATCTACTGGGTTAGGCACCCAAAAAGGTATGAATCTCAAAACAAAATCCACCTGGTTAAAATTGCTGCTGAAAACAAACTATCAAGCAGCACTCCACAATCTGAAACACAAGCAAACACGTATGACATACTGCCACCTCACCACTGTTTGCGCAGCTCCCTCCCCTCCCTTGGAAGGGGAAGGGGCAGCACCAAGACCCCTTGCGCTGGCCATCTAACCCCAGTTCTGAGATTTGTGTTGCGTGGCAGTCGTTCGACTCTGGCTCCTGTCACTGTGCAGTGCTGTACCTTTGCAGTGTTCTGCTGTGTGGTGGTGTGTGAACCAGGAGGAATTCACGGAGTACTGGGGCTGCATGTGCCTAGGACCACCATCCCTAGGTGGCCTGTAAATACTGCCCTTGCGGCTCAGGGTTGCCTTCCACAAGTCGTTCGGAAACTACCTCCGTAGGGGACACTGTATTGTTGGTGTCCCACCATTGTGTTTCGTCTCGTCGGCAGTATGAAGTTTCCCGGCAGTCCTTTTGTCACATTTTGTCTCTTCATAGGTTGTCTTCGATTTCTGATCGGGTTGTTTTGTTCTCTCTCTTGGCAGTTTCAGGGCCGTCATCTTATGCTGAATATTGTCGCAGCATAATGTGCGGCGCTGGTGAAGCCACATCAGCTGGCGTTCGGGGTGGATGTCACTTCTGCTCCGTTCTGCAAGCTTTTTCGTGTGTTTTCACCTCTGGCTTGCTCAAGCGCCACCTGAGCCATTTTGGTCATTGTACCAGGTGCTCTCTTTTCTCCTCCCCCCTCCTTGGTTTGTGGTGGCCTCATCAGTCCAGGATTGTATTCTTAGGCTCTTTTTATTGTTTACATTAGCCTCTGGGGGGTCGGGTCAGGGAGCTTCATGCTCTCCTCCGGCGCAGGGGTTTCTGCTCTCAGTAATGGTGGTAGGTTTGTTCATTTGTAGTCGTCTCCTTCATTTCTGGCGAAGAATGAGACTGCTGCTTTCTAGAGGGGTACTTGGGTTGTTGATGTTTGGTTGGTTCGGCCAGGGGTACATTATGTCTCGTGTCTGGTTGCAGCTCTTTGCTGTTACTCGAGTGCCATGGCCCCGGTGGCTGGGGATGCACTTTGGGTGGATCCAGTTTCCCTTCTTCCATGTTCCAGGGCGCGGATCTCTCAGGTCGTCCGCTGGGTTATTCTGTTCAGCCAGCCTGTGGTCTGTCCTCGTGCCCGTGACGTTTGTAAGTTCAAGGCTTTGGCTGCTGGTTTGGGTAACATGTCCTGGGCATACATTCGGGCACGGGATTTTTGGTGGTCGAACAGGGTCCTGGCCGCACGGTACCGTGTTAATGTTCCTGCCCCAACTTGGGTGTGTGTAGTCTTGGGTTGCAGGTTGCAGTCAGTTGCCTCAACTTCGAGTTGAGGAGCGAGTGGAGGCTGCCTCCCGGGTAAGTCCCTCTTTTTTTTCTTATCTATGGTTAGGTAGCTCCGGGGAGCCGTAAGGGCTCTCCACAGAAAACCAGCATTGAATGTAGTGAAATGCCATTTTCTGGGTAAGGTCCGGAAGCCTCCTGGCAACCCTCCCTCCCTCCCTCTGGTCGACGGTTTTCGGGTTTTTAACATTCGGCCTCTGAACTGGGGTTGAATAGCCAGCATGGGGGTTCTAAAACTCCCCCTGCCTCCTCCCAGGGAGATTAATTATCTTAGAGATGATTAATAACATGAGAATAAAGGTAACTGCAGAAGGCCTATTGACCCATACGAGGCAGCAGCTATTTATAACCACCCAATCCCACTCATATATACAAGAGTGGGATTGGGTTGTTATAAATAGGAGCTTCCTCGTATGGGCCAACAGGCCTCCTGCAGTTTCCTTTATTCTTATGTTCTTAGATGGGGTCCCTTGATTGTTTCATGCATGGGTTGGACACACATATATATGTCTAACCACCACGTTATGTGGTAATTGGATTTCGGGGGAGGGGGAAGCTGTGCAGACAGTGGCGCGGCGGTGATGGTGACGTCATGCTTGTTTGCTTGTTTTTGGTTTGGGGAGTTATGCTTGCTAGTTCGGCTTTTGGTCCCAATTTTTAACCAGCTGTAGTTGTTTTGGGACGCCTACCTTTCTGGGTGCCTTACCTGGTAGATGGCAGACATAGAATGCTTCCAACTACATTGGGTGTTTCTATAGGGCCGTTGCTCCTCGTGCCTCTCTGAGGGGGGTGGGGTGGGGGCAGGTTCTGGCTCGTGGTCCCCGTAGGCTAAAAACTCCAATCGAATTGACTGTAGCCATGGTCTTTGGCTGTGGTATATTCTCCTTCATTAGCTTAATTGAGAAAGCCAGCATAAAAAATGGACCATATTCAGGTTTTCTCCCTCATGCGATAATGCACCCTAATCTTCTTACATATTAAAAGTTCATTCCTTAACTTGAGAGACTCAACTGAGTGAAATAAGTGTGGACAGTTTTGTAGGATTGATTTGAAGATCTGGCTCGACTAAGAGTTCTGCAGGCAAATACTTTACCACCAACAAGGAGAGGCATCCATTTCTTAAGGACACAATTTGAGTTATTTAACACATTTCTTATTTCTTGTTCATTTCAAGTTTTCATTATATGTTTAATACTTGAATGAAAATTAACACGCACCCATTGCGCAGCGGGTGCATTCTTCGGAGGATGAAGTGGATGGGAGCGATCACGAGGATGAGGAGGATGGGGGTTTAATGGGTGGTCGTGGTGATGGAGGAGGAGCAGCCACACTGCGGACTCCACTGAGGGAGCTGACAGGACACACAAGTGTAGTGATTGCAGCAGACTGGCTGCCAGGTGGAGACCAAGCCATTACTGCATCCTGGGATAGAACAGCCAACCTCTATGATACACACACTGGGGAACTCCTTTCTCAGTTGATTGGTGAGCAAAGTTTGTGTTTTTGACAAATGTAGCATAATTGATTTATCTTTTGGTACATAGATGTGCTCCTAATGAGAAGGGACCGGCTTTGCTTATGCAGTTGATTCTCGGTTTTATGCTAGAATGTGTTGACAGACACCTTATGTGAAACCCATCTAGTTAGGTTTTTCTGTGAAAAATTTATTTTCACAGCAGGGAAAAATGATGCTGTATATGTATTGTACAGCAATGGATTCAGTGCACCAAAATCATTATATAATGAATGTACTGTACTACAAAATGTCTTATTGACACAATATTCTGGAAAAGAAAAGAAAATAGGCTACTATAGGCTAACTTGATAATGTAATGAGAAAAGGAGTATGCAATCTATTTTTTTCATGGGGGTGATCATAAATGATATTGTAGCAATGAGAAAACACACATTTGGAGGGTGGGATTGACCTGTTTTGTACACTTAGGGTTTGTGCATACAAATTTTATTTGTCAAGCCCCAAATCATTAATTTTATAACTGTTTTGGGCATACCATATGGACAATCAGGTCATATAGCTAATATTAAAAAATTTGTGTCACATAAAATTTCCAATTAAAATGAGCATTACATAAGCTAAGCAGTCCCAGCTCTTGGCCACAACCCCCCATCAATCTCTCAAATTAATCCCAGCCATACAATTTTTTTGAAAATTTGCTCAATGGTATGGCTTTATTGTACCCAAAAAAGCTTCCTATGAAATTTAGCATTTACATAATCATACTAGTATTTATTTATAAGTTTCCTAGAATAAAATGACACTTAGTACAAATGACATAAATTGTTTTGCAACTGTGTGCATAAATGATTGTTGACCACCTAGAATGGGTTGTCTACCAGGGGTACCCGAGAGAATACATGACAGTTCTCAAAATACTGGTACATACTCTGTAGAGAGCCTCCTGAACATAGACCTGTGCAGATAGTCTCAATTCCAAGAGGAGGAGAATTTGGCAAATTCGTTTTCAATAATAAGCTGATCAACTAGGAATGAATAAACCAAGACCTTGCAGAATTATGCTGTGAAGAACAGCTAGATAATGCAAACTTAAACCACTGCTTTGAGAAATAGGCACAGTATCTTGAGGTCATCTTGAGATGATTTCGGGGCTTTTTAGTGTCCCCGCGGCCCGGTCCTCGACCAGGCCTCCACCCCCAGGAAGCAGCCCGTGACAGCTGACTAACACCCAGGTACCTATTTTACTGCTAGGTAACAGGGGCATAGGGAGAAAGAAACTGCCCATTGTTTCTCTCTGGCGCCCGGGATTGAACCCGGGACCACAGGATCACAAGTCCAGCGTGCTGTCCGCTCGGCCGACCGGCTCCCCAAGTAGCACAAGAAATTTGTAGAAATCACATACCGCTAAGGAAAAGGAGGAAAAAATGCAAACTGGAACGAGAACGGCATTCCCTCTATAGGTGAAGAAAACAAATTGCAGAATATCTCAAATGCTCTACTCTATTCCAACAAAGACAAGGAAGGTTATGCAGAGAAATAGAAACGATTAAGCTCAAGCTGCAAGAAAAAGAGCAAAAAGCCATAAGTGAAAGAGAGAGGAATCCAAAATACTACTACTACTATGCAAAATCTTGAAGAGAAACTACCGGTACATCCAGCACTGGGTCCTTGCACAATGGTGATGGAACTTTCACAGATGACAACAAAAAAATGGGTGAAATACTGAGGCTACAGTGTGACTGTTTTCAGTGAACCCCTGAACATATTAAAGATCAATGATCCAAATCCCCATGGCAAAGTGGTAACACACTTGCCTGACGTTTTGCGAGCACTTTGGCCTGGGGTTCGTATCCTGGCCGATGAGGATTTACTGGGGTGATGTAATATACACAGACTTTGCAAAAGCTTTTGACAAATGTGACTGGTCACATCCCTGGTGGCAGAACCCCATCAAGGTTCTGGGAATTCTTCTCTGTAATGTACTGCAGGTTAAGTTAGGTTAGGTTGAGGTAGACTGTAAATGGTCAGGTAGATACCACCTTAAAGTGGCACCAAATTATTTTGAGCTGCTCAAAAGTGATTCTGGTTATTTATAAAAGATTTTTATTAGTAATATATTATTTAAACTAAATGCTTCTACTGATGAAAATAAAAAATAATTTGCATAGCTTTCAATGCCTTTGAATAGATTCTCTCCTAAAGTTCTTCATGAGACTTCAAAAATTGACTAAAAAAAATTCTTCTTTAGGTCACGACCAAGAATTGACTCACTGCTGCTCACACCCAACTCAACGCCTTGTAGTGACTGCTAGTAAAGACACAACTTTTCGATTGTGGGACTTCCGGGAGCCAATACACTCTGTATCAGTCTTCCAGGGTCACACAGAGTATGTATTCCTTCCCTTGCTTTCCTACCTATATTTCTTAATTTCTTTACTCTTTTCTTGTGTTTGTCCCAGTTTTAATCTACATAAAATAAATCACATGCACAAAACCTTTCAGAGAATTTTGCAACCAGCATTAAGATGTCAGATATCTGGTATGGTACTTCTAGATGCCTTCCTTCTCCTGGCTACAGTCTAACTTCAAAGGTGTCAAATCTTGTACTGTACCTGTAGTGTAAAATCTTGCCTAAGAAACCTCAATGGGTTTGAAGGATCACTTTAAGCATTTGTTGAAGAATTTCCAGTTATTAGTTTTATCATTACAGTAAATTAATGAAGCCACTAACACCATCCAGTACTAAGACACGAGTGTGGATGGTGATGTTTGTCTCTGTTAATATGTGTGGTAACTCAAAAGTGAAAGAAATGGGGCAGACAGATTGACAAAAGAAAAAAGAAATGTAAATTTTACATTATATATTTTCTATATAATATAGAAAATATAGAAACTATATTTTCACTGTCATGAAAATATAGTGTAATTACCTAAGTGTAGTTACAGGATGAGAGCTACGCTCGTGGTGTCCTGTCTTCCCAGCACTCTTTGTCATATAACGCTTTGAAACTACTGACGGTCTTGGCCTCCACCACCTTCTCGCCTAACTTGTTCCAACCGTCTACCACTCAGTTAGCGAAAGTGAATTTTCTTATATTTCTTCTGCATTTGTGTTTAGTTAGTTTAAATCTGTGATCTCTTGTTCTTGAAGTTCCAGGTCTCTGGAAATCTTCCCTATTAATTTTATCAATTCCTGTTACTATTTTGTATGTAGTGATCATATCACCTCTTTTTCTTCTGTCTTCTAGTTTTGGCATATTTAATGCCTCTAACTTCTTGTAACTCTTATCCTTCAGTTCTGAGAGCCTCTTAGTGGCATGTCTTTGCACCTTTTCCAGTTTGTTGATGTGCTTCTTTAGATATGGGCACCATACAACTGCTACATATTCCAGCTTTGGTCTAACAAAAGTCGTAAACAATTTCTTTAGTATTGCGCCATCCATGTATTTAAAAGCAATTCTGAAGTTAGAAAGTGTAGCATAGGCTCCTTGCAGAATGTTCTTAATGTGATCCTCAGGTGATAGTTTTCTATCTAGAACCACGCCTAGATCTGTTTCTTTATTGGACTTCTTTAAAGATCTCTCATAATTTATAGATTGTGTAGAGTCAATGTTCTCCTATTCCACATTCCATAATATGGCATTTGTTTACATTAAATTCCATTTGCCAAGTGGTGCTCCATATACTTATTTTGTCCAGATCTTCTTGAAGTGTATGGCAATTGTCTAAGTTACTTATCTTCTATTATCTTAGCATTATCAGCAAATATGTTCATATAATTCTGTATTCCATCTGGTAGATCGTTTATGTGGACAATGAACAGTACCGGTGCAAGAACTGAACCCTGTGGTACTTTGCTTGTGACAATTTCTCCAGTCCAATACACTTCCTCTTATTACTGTCCTCATTTTTCTATCAGTCAGAAAATTTTTCATCCATGTTAGCAGCATACTTGTCACCCCTCCAATGTGTTCCAGTTTCCAAAACAACTTTTTATGTGGAACTCTGTCGGAAGCCTTTTTTAGGTCCAGATAGATGCAGTCAACCCAACCATCCCTTTCATGTAAAATCTCTGTGGCTCAATCATAGAAACTGAGTAAGTTTGTTACATAGGAGCTTCCAGGTCGAAAACCATACTGACGATCTGATATTATATTGTTTGTCTCCAGGTGTTCTACCATTTAGTTTTAATTATTTTTTCAATATTTTGACTAAAACACTTGTCAATGATACAGGTCTATAATTGAGGGGGTCTGCAACTAGTGTCCCCAACTAGTTGTGCTTGTGGAGCTTCGGCTCTTTGGTCCCACCTCTCGACTATCGATCAATTTTGGTCTTGCCTCTTGACTCTCGGTTAACTGGTGTTCAAGTCCTTGAGCTTGAGCTTCATCATATCTACATTTAAACTGTGTATGGGTCAGCCTCCACTACATCATTTTCCAATACATTCCATTTATAAGCTACTCTGACACTGAAAAAGTTCTTTATAATGTCTCTGTGGCTCATTTGGGTACTTGGTTTCCACCTGTCTCTCCTTGTGTGAGTACCACCTGTGTTAAATAATGCCCTTATCTACCCTATCAATTCCCTTGAAAATTTTGTATGTGGTGATCATGTCTCCCTGTCTTCCAGCAACATAAGGTGTGGTTCACAAAGCTCGTAACTCATACCTCTTGGTTCTGGGACTAGTCTTGTGACATACCTTTGAACACTCCAGCTTTGTCTTGTGCATGACATGTATGGACTCCATGCTGGAGCCTCATACTCCAGGAATGATCTTGCACATGTGGTATACAAGGTTGTAAATGATTTCTTACATAAGTTTCTGAAGGCAGTTCTGATGTTAGCCAGCCTCGCATGCACAGCTGATAATATTCTTTTGATGTGGGCTTCTTGAGATAGGTTCAGTGTGATATCAACTAGATCTTTTCTGCCCATTTTGTGGAGGACTTCATCTCCCATTTGGTAAATGTGGTGTGTATCTGGCCTCTTGTTTGTTGGAGAAAATGTAGAACAGATAACCAATTTGGCAGCATAGGTGAAGTTGAAGTGAATGCCTCAGTGGTAGGAGGCGGAGGGAGTGGGGCATGGACACGTGGTTAGCATTACAGGAACACTAAAGAAATCTCGGTAGTAGGAGGCAGGATGGGACATGAGATTAACATTAAAGAAACTTAAAAAACCAGTGTTGAATGTAATGCAATGTCTCTTTCTGGTGGGAGCCTTGGAGGTTCCCTATAGCTAGCTCACTGAGGTAGCTCTACAAACACAAGTCACATCATCCCTATGAGTCCGTATTGCCTGCCAGAGGCCAGGGCCAGAACCTGGCACCCCTGACAGAGGCACAGGGAGCAGGTTATGATCATCCTCACCAAGTAAATATTCAGAAAGTAAGTGAAGCAAAACAGGCAGCTATTTTACAGAGAGAAATGAAGTAGCAAACAACTTTGCAAACTCTCCCCCCAGCAGTTTGGCTAAACCCATTATTTACAGTTAGCCACTGCCAAGTGGCAGCCCCATCAGGAGCTTTGACTTCCCATGTTAGCAGAGTCCACTCTGGAGCTGATAAATTGCTCATTGACAAACCTGGAAGGGAAGGAAACCACCAGGGAGCCACTGAGATGCAACCAGAAAGTACTTTTTCATTACATTTAATGGTGGTTTTCTGGAGGGACTAACCACAACCAACTAACCACAGAGTATAGGGAAAAATAGGACATACCAGAGAGAACATAAGCAGAGACTAAACTCTCAAAGACAAGAAGCTAGGACAGGAAACTTGACTCGGGTCATTACAAGCCTGATGGGGTCTAGGAACAGAGACCAGGTAAGCTGTTATACCTACAAAACCCACAAACCCAAATATCAACCCACAACAAGTTGCAAAAGACTGCTGTCAAAGCCACAAACTTGTGAACGTCATGGGCCTGAGGGCAGACTGCAGACTGACTAGACTGCAGATAACCAAAGATAAATGAGCCTTGGAACATGCAAGTGGCAAATGATGCATCCGTGCCTGGACAAACTAAGCATTAACAACCAAAGAACCCCTCCAGGCACCAGGCACTTCAATCTTTACCAAATAAGGAGAAGACTGTAAACAAAGCTGCTGCCCACCAGGACCCAAAAAACAAAATGCCTTCAAGAACATTACACTTTCCCACTCGACAACCAGAAGCAAGGGCCAATAAGAGCAGAGCCTTGAGAAACATATGAGACCCACACGAGACAACTTGCGAAACAGCACATAAGAAGTATTGATGCTAAATGCCAACAGAAGCAACTCGGCAAAGGCCAAACTGTTTAAGATAACAGTTCTTAACCACCAGTGCTTGCCTATCGGTTACTACAGGGAAGTAAGATCCAGCTCCTTATACCCTGCCTCCTAGATGTTTATACCTGATGTAGTGATTACCTCTCAACACTTACATTTTCATTGTGTTTTTTCTTAATGTTGTGAATGGAATTGGCTTCAACAACGTCTTCCTTCAATGCATTCTACTTACTGACCACCCTTGACAAGATAAGGTAACAAGAACTTCCTTAAATCTCTGACTCAATTGTGTGTCCAGCTTCCATAGTCTTGTCCTACCTCTTAATTTAAAATAGGCTTCCTTTTACAATTTTGTCTATTCCCCTCAGAATTTTGTTTATAAAGATCATATCCCCCGTTTCTTATCTGCTCTAAGGTTGTGAGGTTGAGTTCTCTCAACCTGTCCTCATAGCTGAGGACTTTCAGTTATGGTACTAATCAAATTTGAATCCTCTGAATTTTTTCAAGTTTGTTTATGCTTCGTAAGGTGTGGGTTCCATGCTGGTACTGTACTGCATATTAAAGTTATGGTTTCGTATAGAGTGTGCACATGGACTTAAAACTCTCCTTGTTTAGATTCTTAAATGATGTTTTATGTTTGGTAGCTTCCCATATGCTTCCGAGTTTATCCTGTTTACTTGAGCTTCTGGTGCTAATGTTTGGATTTTGTTTACTCTCTGGATCTCTCTTTTATTGTTTTTTGTAATTGCCTTTGTCTTATGGAATAGTTAAATATGGGTATCTTATCTACTCATCTTCATTACTTTATACTTATTTGGATTAAGTCTGCCCACTTCTGAAAATTGTGAAGGTCTTCTTGTAGCATCCAACACTTCTCTTCAGTTCTTGCTCTCCTCATTAATATTACGTCATCTACAAACATCGATATCTACAAGCTCACTCCCTCTAGTAGGTATAGTCCTAGGACAGAGCCCTGTGGAACATCACTTTCCACACACCTCCAGCCTGACATATCTTGTCCCACTATGACCCTTTCTTTCCTGTTCAACAAATACTCCTGTACCTAGTCCACTGCCTTTCCTGGTATCCCCACATGTCTTTTCATCTTACGTA